TTGATTGGCTAAAAATTCAAATTAATTCATCTTTTTTTCTTGTTTTGATGAGTTATTATTGTGAGAATGTTGATGACAGATAAATTAATTTGTTATTAAAATATGGTAATTAATAAGCGTATTTTGATAGTTTGTTTGTGATGGTTAGTAACGATTCATATTCTACTAGATTAAAAGTTTATGAATTTAAGATATTATGTCACTGTGTTATGACCTTTGTTGAAGTCTAGAATATTTTGATTGAAGAACAATATTACAGCAAATATCTTATGATGAACTATCCAGACTACTTTCAATAAATCCACTTTATAAGTGTTCTTTTTTCTTCAGTTTATTTATTAATTATGTTATTACTATGATTTTTGTATATTTTCGAAACTTGAAAATCTCTCTAAACTTCCATAGACTGACTTGGACTCACTCATCATTCTTATGTGTATTTATACCATAAACTGTTCATCAATGTATATGCATAGTGTTAATTCATGCCGGTAGGTTAAATGTGGTTTTTGACAGATAAGTTGATTACCGTATAAAATCCTGTAAACAAATTATTATAACCAATCAAAGCACAAGTCACTTTGAAACTTTGCTCAGTACATAATATTATGTAGAAAGTAGTAATTTTGTGGTGTACAAATTCTTTATTCATAGATAACTGTCTGTGCTGCATAAACGATAAATATCACCATGTAAACCTGTGGTAGAATAAATGACTAAATTGTATTTACCCTCTTGTTCACTTTCTTTTTCAAAAAAAGACGTTTATTTCTTAGGTGAGAATTCTCTATTTGAAATGTTTATTTATGTTGTCAATATTAATTTATCTAATATACAATCATCAATCAATCAGTTCATTCAATAATGAAAGATTCAGTATTTGATTAATTTTGCTTGACGTCAAAAGTCAAAAATATCAAAGTTACGTCTATAAACAAATCAGTATTTTCTGTTGAAAACATTTATATATATATATATATATATATATATATATATATATATATATATATATATATATTAATTGTTTGATGATAAACAATATGCTAATTAGATATTCAAGTGTATTCAGACAAGCGTCTTCTACTCAATATCGTTTTCAACTAACTTGGCAACATTTTGTGTCTCATTGGTCAAGGGAATTGATTTTTGATTAATGTGTTATAAATATGAATTTTATTCGCTTTACTAGGATTTCGTAAGCCTATTATTGTTATTATTAATACTATTATTTTTATCATTATCAAGCTCTTATCAGTCGATGTTCACGGTTCAGTACATAAACATTTGTCTGACCCCTAAATTTTCATTCACAAATGAGTATTTCTCTGTCTAACTAGGCTGCTTATTTACATGGAGAATACTATAAAGATTAGGCTTGAAGTGTCCCCGAATGCCTTGGTACGGCCGAGAATGGGGAGTCCGCCCTCCCTCTTGAAATGATCTCACATGGCCACGCGTATATAGCATCTGCCAGGAAAGTCCTACTCACTTCCTTCCCATGGCGGGGGTGTTGTTTACGAAATTGAGAGGATGAAAAGCGGATGTCCGGCGCTTCAACCGGGTTGGTGGACACGGAGAGTTACATCTAAAGTTCAAGCATAAAAATCGAACTTTGTGAGACCCATGTACGTTAGCCAACTTTCTTCCTAAATTTTATTTTTCTAGTGCAATTATCTTCACTCTGTTCATATTATCACCTTCATCACTTTTTAGTTAGTAGACTGATTAAGTCGTAATTTTACTGACTTTGTGTGTACATATAACTGACGAAAACATATGTAAGGTATATTGGTAAAATTGTTATTTATGAATGGTTTAGAAAATGTGTATGTGTGCATATGTGTTTGCAATGGCTTTTCTTATGTTTCGTGTGTATGCATATATACGCAACAAATCTTTTTCGTTCTTTGTTTCTTTCAAAACATGGTCAAAAGGCCACTACAACTATTACTGCAACTACTACTCTTACTACTCTGTTTATCATTACGATACCTATCTATCGCCTACGTGTTTATGTCACTCAGTAGTGTTGATCTCAATAATAATAATAATGATAATAATAATAATAATAATATAACGAGTTATGCTACTGTTATCTACTTTTTTTCTTTGTCCCACCTCTATTTTTCTTTACATTTTAAGTTGTGTATTTGCTTGTATGTGCGTTCATGTGTGTGAATTATTTATTCGTGAAAGCGATCGAACGACAGGTAAAAGGGTAAAATGAAGCGAACAGTCAATTTATTAATTTTTTCAGCATTATTTTAAAAAAAATCAATATTCATAATCAATAGTAGTTCAGGTTAATTCTCTTATCTCTGTTTGTTGTGATGTATATAATAACACTGACTGAGTATTTGTGGGTATATGGTAGGAAATTAAAACTGTTCCTTTGTATACAAAATATTCAACTATAAAGTATTACTTATCAGTTGGTAAACAAAATAGTGAAGAATAATATTGCGAGTAAGAACAACCAATGTTCGTACAGAATATATCGAATATGGTTAGCAGTGAAATTCATGATTTCATTTTGAACACACGAGATGTACCTGCATTCCAGAGTTAATGTTCACTTCGGATATTCGGACTCAGTAATTTGGAGAGAAGGGTATTGAGTACGAGGCCGAAAGTGAATATAAATTCTAGGATACACGTAGATACAGCTGATGAGCTTCAGGTAGGAAGAAACGGGTGTCCTGGACTCCACTGTTATTTATGTTCCATCTACTGCACACAAACTTTTGTTGATGGCTATATTAAGATAATCCACACATTTCAACCAAAACTGATCAAATTTTTAAAATATCGACAACAGCACAATCCAAATCATAACATAATAACCAATGTTTATTAGCTTTTAAATATCGTAACACTTCTTTTGTTCAAAATATTTAATTGTGTATAGTGTATTTTCAAACTCCAGCATTGAAAACATTGAAACCTTAGTTCTTTTTTCACTACAATATTCAGGTAAATCTTTCATTCCTTTGACTTTGAGATGACGTGTTTATTGCTAGTCAAAACTAAATAAAACAGCGATTGGAAACCAGAAATGTCAATAAACTGAAATTGGAAATACGTAAAGAAATACAAAAGAATGGATAACCCCTAATCGATATATAATGACGCTTGATTATTCATGTTGCAATTAGACCAAAACACAGATATATCTACTTGTTATAACTGAATAAAGATTGATTTAACTTGCTGCAGGAAAGATGACAGAACTGCAGATGAACGTTTTTCTATGCGCCAACAATAGATCCAAAACAATATCTAAAATACATTGAGTTATGTATTACTTATCTGATGAATGTTCAGACATTAATATATTGAATTAGAGTGGAGGTTAATTATTCTTTATCTGACTCCAGTTAGATCGTTTCCAATTATCGAAACATACATTCCGCCAACCCTCGTATATAATCAACGACTTAAGTCGCGTTAGTGAATATTGGAATTAAATAATTCAAATGCAAGAATGGATTTCGAATACGTATATTTCACACAATCGTTGATTCAGACAGACAGTCAGAGAAGTGAAGCAAAACGGATCAGAGAGGTTATGTGAGCTAACTCGAATTAAGCAGTACTCAATATTTATAGTCAGAAGAAAATAAGCTACAGACATGCGATGAATAGGATAAGGGATACACATACATACACTCACATAAAAAAACAGTCAAATTTGGCAAGTGAATGATTAACAAGGTCAAAATGTGGCTCAAGAAGGATGAATAAATTGGCCTGTCCGGAAGCTAAAATAGGCTATGTGGGCGTGACATAGCACCCGACACTACACTAGACACCATTTGACATTAATTAATCAATAACTGAATGGATGTATATAATTGGCAACCCCCATAGATTAAAATGCTTTAACTAACAGATATGGTTAAATTACTGAGTTATATATTTGTTACATCTTAACATCTCTCTCTCTTTGATTGGTTACATGTGAGTAGAGTTTCCTGAAGGAACCCTACTTGAAATTTAGTTAGTCTTTATCATAACAATTTAGGAAAGAAAAGGAGAAACTGTTTTATTTTGAGGTTTGGATCAGCACTCCGGTCTCAACTTGTCTTATTTACTTATATTGTGGGAAAATCCAGTGTTTTCTTAGGATAACAGTCCTACTTATTTCATCTCAACACTTGTAGCTGATATTAATCATGAAATTATATAAGTTGGGGTACCGTATAGTTACCAATTCGTTTCAACACTAGTTGTTAACTTTACTGTTAAATGTGCAAACCGATCATCATCTAGTTCAGATTGAAATAGTCGGACGTCACTGCATATATATACCCACAAGCTTCACAATCCATTGATAAGTGATTTAATGGCAATTGTTTTGGCGAGACTGTAACTTATGGATGAACTTTGAGCGAGACTAAATTGTCCTTGAGAAGTTAATGGTAGAGATCAAGTTAGCGTTTTTGCCATAAACTGATATCAATTATTAACCAAAAGGCAAATCGGTCATATGGATGAATGAATTCCCCCCCCCAATCTATGATTCTGTATCTTCGGTCTGACCGGTTCGTCGATAAATTCTAATATCTGTAGTATCTTTGGTATCACAGCATAATGATACAAAATTGTTATTATTCTCACGTCTTATTTTATCTCATTTTCTTGGGAAATATCTGTTGTACACATGAACCAGGGTAATTTTTATTGAAATCGTATGATTACGTATAAATTAATCAGTTTTTTATTTTAAGAAATGATAGGATTACTAGAACATTGATTGTGTTCTACATTCGGTTATAAAATTGCTTCGGTATTTTCTTGTGTGAACTTCAGAAAGATCACCCAAGATTAATTTTAGTTACTTGAGCTTACTAAGCGTTCGAATAGGTAATTTTAATCATTGGGGCGTACAGAAAGATTCTCTAAGGTTTCATTGTTTTCATTGTTTTTTTTAACATAGTTTGTTGCTTTGCTCATGTAGATCTCTTTAAAATATTTTTTATCTGTCTGTTTATTTGTAGAATACTAGACAAAAAGTTAAATCCAAGAAAGAAACACCTCCATTGGATTCAGCTGCCTTACTGTCTCTTCTTTCTGGGACAGGAAATTTAAACCCTTCTAGTTGTTCCACTAGTTCACTCACAAATCCTTTAAATCCTCTTAGCACTTTAGCTTCTGAAATAGATGGTGCCAATTGCAATATTCATTTACGTCAAGTTTTGGAGTCGTTAATCAGTCTATCAGTTTCTCCTGCATTTGATCAGTCTTCTGCCCATAGTTTATTGTCTAACGATATGCTTGACAGTGGATCATTAAACCAAACCTTTCAACAGTTAACTAATTTATCTAATCGTAAAGCAACAACTGGAATCCAGAAAGTGTCACCTTCTGGTCAAATTTTATCCAATGAAAGTAGTAACAGTACAAATCCTCCAGGCAATGTTTCATTTGATCTTCTTGCACAACTGTCTGCTGCTGCTGCGGCTGCTGCCGTAACTCCTCCGCCTTCCAATATTGTGAACCAGCTTGGAAATTTGGTAAGTGTAAATTGTAGTACTAGTCTGCTTTCTTGTTTTGTTGTGCCCTGTATGGATATTATTTTTCCACTGTGTTATTATCCGTCTTATTGTGACTACTTTGAAATGAAAAATTTAAACACTGAGGGAGTTTTGTTTGCTTAATTTTCGAGCTGCTTTTTGTTACACATGTCCACTTATTGCATGGATTTTAGTTGACTATAATTCATAGTAATTTTTTTGTCTCAAATTTTGTTTCGTGTTAATATTTCCAGGCTACTGATGGATTCAATCCGATCTTCCCAACTGATGAAAATTTATCATCTGCTTTGCAGAGTCTTTTGTTTAAACAAATGTTGAATGTTAATACAGGATCAAATGCTTATACATCTCACCTTGGACCGGGAAGGAATTTCATACCTAATATTTCTCAATCTGCACAATATACTGGTCTAAGGGATTGTCGGTCGATGAGCAACGATGAATCTAATTGTAGTTCAGAAAAGTTGATTCCACCAACCTATTCACTAGCTTCAAGTTTTTTATCTCTTCACTCTCCAAATAGTACTAATAACTGTAGTAATAACAATAATCCTCGTAATTCATTTGTCCGACCATCTTCAAGGATATCACCTGAACCTATTACATTGGCTTCTAGCCCACCCTCTTCATCATCTACACCATCCTTCATTTGTCCCAATCAGTCTAATCCTCCTACTGGAGAATTTTATCCTCCAAATGAAACTGTGGCATCGTCACCTAATTCTTTACTTTTAAATGGTTGTACTCCTGTTGGTACATCACCTAACACTGGTTTGAATATGAATCAAACAGCTGTAAATTTATCGAGTGACAACCAATCATGGGAACCATGTAAAGTTTGTGGCGATAAAGCTTCAGGTCAGTAGATTATTTGTTTCAGTCATTGTTTATTGTTTTCCAAATCTTGGATAAAAGTCCTTTTTCTGAATAAGAAAAACTGGTTGAATCACCTTTAAACTGTGACTTAAACTTATCGATTTTCCGAGAATCTCAAGGTGAACACATGCATTTGTGTTATCATGTTAGTCCACATGGTGCGAGGTTATTTATATGTTGGATGGCACTGTCACACAGAAGGTATGAGCGAGAATTTCCCATGACATTTTTCATTCAGCACACACTAGGGATTCGACATTCAGTCAGTATTAAGCCTTGGATTTGGAAACTAATAAGCGACAACTGTTTATTGTTTCATGAAACTTCACTTTAAAGTTATAAGTTGTACAATTTTCTTAAACCTATGGTTGACCATTTCAAGGTGCTTGAGTAATTCATTAAGTGTTGTTATTGTGAAGTGAATATTTAATTTGTTACGCTGTAATACTATTTGCGAAGTAGTAGAAGTACGTGGTTATACCTTAAAAAGTTAACTTTTATTATTATTATCGTCATAATTTTAGTTTAATACACGTATAAAAATTGACTGAATGGCGAATTCCTATCAAATGAATCTCTCTACTATCTCAATAGTCTATCGGTTATGAATTGCGTATAACTATTGAAATTTCGCCTCGTAGTTCACTCATTATTATTGAATGATGAAAAGTTAAGTCACGATTGAAAACGATTTCTGTTGAGGTCAGTCTAAATGTGCTTAATGTTAAACATAAATTATAAAAGAAATCAATAGGTACGACCTTGATTACTAAGGTAAAAAATAATGAAAATAAATTAGATACATTTTTGTTGAAATATTGTCAAATTAACATTTATAAATCTTACTTCGAAACTTATGATGTCGTCAAACAATACGGTAATAATACAACGGATCGTTCAAAAAATATATTTTTTCTCTCTCTCATGTATTCTACGGTCATAGGAATAGTCATGTTATATAAGATCCAGGATTCACAACCAAGAATAGAGAATCAGAGTATCGACTAGATAATACTTTACTCAACACAATTGCAATCAGTCGCTTTCAATGAGTATGGAGTAGGAATCAATGAGGGGAAAGGAAATCACATCTAATAGTCAGTAGACTGTGTCTGTTTGTGACAAATCATATTTCACCTTCACTATCACACATCAAGTATTTTGTGATATTTGATTCTAGAGAGTTCTCATATAATCACCATTTGTGGTGATAACGATAATTTACATTTGACTTAGAAAAGGAAAAGACCGAATCTATTACGAGGTAATTTTTAAGATTGAGACCTTTTAGCAGCACTCAAATAGAAAATCCTCAAGAAGATCAGTTAGAAATATTGAGAAGTAAACGTTTTAAAAAGGGAAATACTAGGGGATAATAATTTGGAGTTTCAGAATGCAACAAAGTATATATTCATTATTTCCTGATGCTTAAAGCAAAAAGTACTCTTGAATTCTCTGAGAATTTGACATGTAAGTAAATTAATGCATTTATTATATTGTTAGAATTGAACGAAAGACCATGCTTATAATATGTTAGAAATGGTAGCTTTTGCGATCCAGCTAATTAAGTCGTGTTTATTGTGTTGTAGATTCAAACCCTATTTATTCTATTGTCACCATAGCTGTCAAGTGTTATAATCTTACACATAGAAATTCATAAATTCAATATTTTACTATGTATACTTTATAAGATGTGTGAGCTAGAAGTGGTTTGAGGTTATACACCAACAGGAGTCTGTAATTTAGCTGCTTTAACTTTCAATCAGTGTGTCAAGTATTTTTGAAACTCACTTTACTTACTGTATTTTAGAGAACTAGAAAGATGCTACACAACAAAGACATAATTATTATCCCATTTGTTTTCAATTTCTAAAATCAACATATTTAAACTGTTTACAGAAAAGAAAAGTATTATCCACTAGTAATTAATTGATTTTCTTCATGGTACTTATTTACTCTGAAGAAGTGGCTTATATTAAGTCACGAAACGTCAGAAATACATTTTTTCTCCTCACTGGAATACAACAAAATTATATTTATTATGGTACTTAGTAGTTGATAATAACGGTGATTTTTCATGAACTTTGGTGTTTTGTATTCTTTCTTTTTTTCTCACTGAAGATTGTACTTGTATGTTTTCAGTTGTACATTTAAATTTTACGCTTCAATCTACACCCATACGAACATAAACTAATCGTGAGGAGTACCTTGATTTTTTATGTATAAAGTATGCATTATATGACCGATTCAAAAACAAACAAACAAATGAACTATGATTACCAAGAATCGACCACTCATTTAGAATTTTCTTTTTTATGACGTCAGAATCTGCCTATTATTATTATTATTTCTTGTTTCTGTTGTGCGTACGTATGCATCATTTACTACTTAAATGAGTAGTAATTGTAATTATTTTTCTTAATCGCTTTGACAGACCAAGTTATTGTTATCATTTTATTGCTCTGTTATTCAAATGGATGTATTGATTGACTTCGTATTGATTATTACTTTGTGTGTGTATCTTTCTCTTTTTCTCACTCTTATTTTTGTCTTTGTCTGCTCAAATCTTCTTTTGTTTTCTTCCTGGCCTAGACATATTATTAGTTAGTTAGTGATTATGGTTTGTTTGTTAAAGAAAAAAGGCGAGGATAGTTTTTTCAGATACTTTTTGATGATTTATTAAATTTACACATGTGTATGATTTGTAAGTACAAGACAGTAATAATGCAGTGTGGATGATATTATTTGGATAAGAGTACGTCTAAAATATTCTTGTTTCTTTTTACTATTTGTTTACTTTAAGTTGTTTTCTTCTCTGTCATTATTTCCTTTGTCCGTAAAGTTTAATAAAACTTAAGTATTCATTTTACTTTATAACTGTGAAGCAACATGACTATTGAATTTGGATATTGTTGAGTGGAAATAGTCAAGTGTACAATTTATGGGTTAACATGGTAGGTCAGCTGTTAAGATTGTGGATATGCGTAGACTAATAAAATTTTATCATATTTCATGTTAGGTGGTTGGAGGTAGTTGGTAGGAAAGACCGTGGATGTAGGTTTTATGCCAGTCGGCACTCGTCAGCAAAGTGTACCTGTAATCGTAAAGGATCATGATTTATACATGATAACTTAGAATCTCAACACTACTTGATTGTGGTTTAGTAAGTGAATTTCTTTGTTGCTGTATTTTTACTAATGTTTCAAGTGGTGATATAACGCGTGACTAAAGTGTCCTTCGTTTATTTGGTTTTCAGCTGACTGATGGATGTTATTTTATTTATTCCATTTTCTCTACAGGACGACATTACGGCGTTGTATCATGTGAAGGATGTAAAGGATTTTTCAAACGTTCTATTCGAGGACACGTTAGCTACGTATGTCGCAGTGAACAAAATTGTCTTGTAAATAAAGCCTATCGTAATCGTTGCCAATATTGTCGGCTACAAAAATGTTTAGCTGTTGGCATGCGTTCAGAAGCTGTGCAAAATGAACGTAGACCTACCAATACATTTGCTTTGAATTTTTTAAACGATAATTCAGGTAATTCAAATTGTACAACTACTGGTGGCAGTAGTAATATGAATAATGGCGGTTCACCTAATCCTAGTATATCTAATGCATCTATTACTTCTACGACGACGACAACAACAACAACGGCAACAGTAACAACAACAACCACTACTTCTGCTAATAATGGTAATAATAGTCATACTTCAACATTTGGACCATCAGTTCCAAACGTTCGTAATAGTTCACCACAGTCTCAACAAATACCATGTAAAATTGAACCGAACTCAGAAGAATTGGAAGACGACCGTAATAATCATTCGGAATTTACAACACGGAAATCTGACGAGGGCCAATTGTCATCTCATAGTTCTCCATCCGGTTCTTCTCGGTCAGTGCCATTAACGTCGTCAGGGGCGACAACAGTGGGACTGTTATCATCATCATCGGGGTTAACATCAGGAGTCGTTGGATCAAAGCATTTAGATGATAATCACTTCACAGGAATCAGTAAAAACTCTGCTTTAAGTGATATTTCTTCTTCATCATCGTCATCTTCCTATTCAGCTACAGTAGCCGATGTTGAAACCAATGATCCCAATAATACATCCTACTTACAACACGATATTAAGCCTCCTGTAATACAAACTTCATTAGGATTAAAATTTACACCAGGTTTGTGTAGCTCACCCCAAGCTACATCACATTCCCTTCAGCAACCTCCTGCTGTTTGTTTATCCACTTCAGCGTCATCTTTGGCTCGTCAACGTTCATTAACTTCAGTGAGTAGTAGTAGTAGTGTTAATAACAATAGTACAGCTTATGCTAGTGCATTACCCGCATACAGTAATGTGTTAGAGGGTTGTCATACAACTAGTCATCTGGATCCAGACTGTGGAATCGCCAATTTCAGCCGTTGTATGAATCGAAACACTCTTCTTAGTTCACAGCTTTTCGATATACCTGACAATAAGAGAGGTGCAACACAAGAATCTTATTCGCGGAGAACGGTACGATTATTATTACTATATTGATTTCTGTTTTGTTTATTATTAATTCAATAAAATCTAGTTTGTTTTCTGTTGATAAATTTCACTGTGATGTAAGCATTTCGACCATGTTTTTTTCGACTTTTGCAACACAAATAACTTGGTTCATAATCAAGAATTTTTTTGCGTAAGAAATTTCATAGTTGTATAATGAGCCTATTTTTAAAATGTGCTCCCTTTTTGTTTTACAATGGAGAAGGGACTCAACTGTTATAAGGCGTCTAAATTTTAGCCACTAATTCACAGGCTCAAAATTCGCTTCGCCTAATTTGGCTTAAAGTACTGGGTGATATCATTAGTCTTCACATTTAGAGTGTAACTCGAAGCCAAATACACTAATCTACGTTTGGTAAAGAAGGGTTTTATCGCACAGGATACCTCATTTAAGAGGACCAAATAAATGAGCACGTATGTATTTCTGCTCATTTATCCAGTGTTAAATCTGAATAGAAACGATAGTACAATCAGATATCTTAGCAGTCAACTGTAATTGGAAATCTATGAATATGAATTTACCATGAGCTAGGAAGCAAAACTAAGAAAGAAATAGATTAAGTTCCTATTGTGTTACGTATATGTCTAGATGTAATTAGTTCAGCAATTTTTCTCATATAATTAATTGCTTGTTGGTTTAATGCTTACACTAAATCTAAAGATTCATTGTAATTCATATATTTCAATTTTAGACTTCTTTCTCAAACACGCCAAGTTCGTCTTCAACATCTGTGTCAAATCATCAGGATCCTTTGCCACTTTTTGATGATACAGGTGGATTAAATTTGAATGAGTTAACTAAGTTAGCTTTGAATAATATAAATTCCTTGCAATCATCGTCATCATCAAATCAACAAGGACGTAGTTTAGCCGCGTTATACACTTACTGGTTAGCTGCCGCAGCAGCAGCTGGATCTTTAAATCCTTTACATCATCGGCACAATGAAAATCATAATCATCACCACCAACAACAGAATCACTCGGTGCATTTGTCCACTTCAAATCAAAATTTCAATCCACTTGATATGAAAACTTCACTATCATCATTGAAAACAGCACAATCTTCAACTGTGACCACTACATCAGCAATAATTGGCTCAAATCAAAATTCTACATCACAATTTAGTATGAAAACAAATCCAAATAGTTTATTTGGACAACATTGTAATTTAGAAAATCAGCTACTTATTAATGGTTTAAATCATTCGTCTAAATCATCATTATTATCTAGCGCAAGCAATCATTCAGATGCTTTAAATGTGTTGATGTCGATTATGTTAAATTCATCGGATCATGTTGGACTGAATAATTTCAATGCTTTGACAGATGCAGTTAATTCAACCACAGCACATTTACAAAAAGCACCAATCAATCATTCTCACCAGCAACATCCCTTTATGCTTCAACATCATTCTCATCAGCATCAATTACAGATGGGTTCTTCAAATTCTCACCACTCATCCACTTCACCGAATACACTTGAAATACCTATTCCTTCCACGTCATCTTCATGCTTATCAGCCTCGCTATTTGGTCTCAATAACACCATATCAAATATGAATAATAATAATAATACCAATACTATTGGTAATGATAATGTTACGATGCATTCTGCTGCTAACAATAATTCGCCATTCATACCAGCACCTCCACCAATCAAGTCAACAAATTTAATACAACTATTGTGCAAACGTACTTCAAATAGTCAGACAAGTACTTTAACGGATACTGACGATAAATCTAAGAGTGGTTCTTGCAGTAGTATGGTTGCTACTACTACTAATGTTAGAGGAAGACGAAGTAGTAATAGTAGCACTGCTAACAATATGGAAGAGAATACACACGAGTCTGGTGAACTAATCAATAGTTATCGAGGTAGGCTATATGTAAAGTTTACCAGTTTCCTTCTGCTAATTGTTATTAAATAATCTTAGTCGAATGTTAAGTTATATTGACTTTCTACTGAATGAAATATGTTTTATATATTAAATACTGTGCATTCCTTTGAAATTGACCAAAACCATATACTTGACACTGGCTGGTAGTATATATAGACAATCATCAGTTTTTCAAAACTATTAAAAACTAAGTTATTACTGCACTAAAAACTGTAAAGTCGGGGGTTTTATAGCAGGTAGTATAATAGGGATCATTAAATACAAAATCACACATGTTTAATCGACTGATTCAACCCAAATATATACATTATGATCATGGTTTACATTTCGATGAAAATATGGATTGGGTATCGGCACTTATGATTTATCTTAGTGCATAAGTATTTATGTTCTATCAGTTATACTTGACCTATAATTACAAGATTTTCTATTAATATTTCTCACTGAAACCCTATTAGTTTATTTATTTCTATTACACTACACAATGAATTACTGAGAATATATTTTTGCTAAGATATGACCAAGGAACACATTGCGCTGGGATTTGGAAGCAAACATCAAAAGGATGAATAGTAACTGGAAAGGATTGCCCAGGACGGAGTTGGATAGAGAATGCTGATAGCTGGCCTATGCTCCTCCATGAGGGGTAACAGGCGTAAGCTAATTAATAATATTCATCAATTACATCGGGAGAATGAAATAAACTGGGTTTTTTTGTCAGTTTAATCGTTTCATATTCAACAGATTAGTGTATTACAATTTTTAAGACTTATTCAATAGATGTCACATACTTTGTAAGTTAGAATAATTATTCTGTTTATACATTGTGTATATATGTGCCGTATAGGGATAATGTTAATTAAATAACATTGAAACGAAGTGGGATCAGTTTTGATTACATAATCCTAGTTTTCTTTTTTACATTGAAATGTCAGTGTATGCAACAATATTTCTTAATGTGAATATAATACTTAAATTGTTTGGTTGGTAATAATATTATATGGTATTGATCTTAGCGAAGGTGGTATGAATTATTTGTTCAATTCAAGATAATCATGTTAGTTTTAAGCGTTTTTCTTTGAACATCATTATTAGTTAAGTTATGAAATCATTAATATATGTGAAATATTTTTTAAAATATTAGCTCACTTTTTAAGTAGTTCATGATGAAACGAATGAAACTGAACTATTTCATCTTTTTGGTAAATTGAAATCGAACTGTACTTATATATATATATATATTCTGTACTGAGTACTATTGTTAACAATGCTTACAATAATGAAGTACAGATCGGTTAATACTTACCAACTATATTGTTAAGTTGTGTGGTATTAATAAATGTGTGGAATTTCTGTGCGTAGTTTATAGTCAATGCTACTATTCGTAATGTTGTTTTTTTCTTCTTTAAATTGAACCTCATACACTAGCTATGTATTTTGTTATTTTACTCACTTGTAGATTGTTGGTAGATTAATTTGAAATTACTTTTATAAATTTATATTGTTATCAATATCCGAAATGGATTTAGAAAAATATTCAATCGATAATTGTGCCGATAATGTTGATGATAGTTATAACATTTTATACTTTAAGTTCATACACTTTGATTATTGGTGTAGACTGATTTCATTTGACCTTATTCTGGCATATATATATATATATATATATATATATAATTTTGTCGGTTCACTAAAATATACATATATTTGCATACATATCTGTTTAGTAGTAGATATATTCTTTAATAAATTATATTATACCATTTGGATAGTTATTACCTGACCTACTTTAATTCATGCTGACACGGCTTAGCGATCTATTGTACTTTAGCATAATTGTAGATTATATATTATCTATGCTTAATTATATATGTGTATTTATATATGCATTTTCATGTTTGAACATTGAAGATCCTTATATAATTTTATGTGTATCACGTGTATACTTTTTGTTGTAGTTAATCTTGACCTTGTTTGTTTGACCTCAATGTGTCCTCGAATAGTCACTTAATTCCTAACCTCTATTTTTTTTGTCAATCTAATTCATATGTTTACATTTACATCTATCATATGTATATGTTTATAGATGAGTGTGTGAATGTGTGTAATATGAAGTTGTTTACTGATATCACATCATTAGATAGATATACGTTTTCTGAACCATAGGGTTTAATTGATTTATATATATTTGTAAATCCACTTATACTTTTAAAGTATTTAAAAGGAATATGATAATAATTTCACTATATTAATGACCTTTTATTATTATTATTATTATTATTATTATTATTATTATTATTATTATTATATCTTGTTGATTATTATTAAGTGATGAAAATTTCGTGTTTTATTATTTACTTAAACTATTAGCATACGATTAATGTTGAAGATTCATATGTTGGGACAATTTCAGATTAGATTGATTATCAGCTGTTCGTATTCATCTCACTTCATACGAATAGTAATAATATCAACAACTAATGAGTTTAACATTCGACATACATATATCACTGCCTGCGTGTTGATGTATACCTGTCACTACATCATTCTGTAAAACTTCATCCTTTTTTTTACTGCAAATTATTACTGAGAACATACTAGATTTTTGTTTTTCATTGTCAGACCAAAAATAAATCGAATGCAACACATATAGATTGGCTCACATTGTTATTATTTTATTAAGTGGATCATTGAATCATATGATTTAAGATGATTACAATAGCTTTAATCTAGATTTCTGACATCAAAACGTAGGGAAACTTTGAAAATCTTTTCTTTTTGTATGTATATTCACCTGACATATATATATATATATATATATATATATATATATATATATATATATATATATATATATATATATATATATATATATATATATATATATATATATATATATATATATATATATATATATATATATATAATTAGCATTAAAAGTGCAAAAATAGCCCCAGGATATCTGTCTGATTGATCAATTCTAGTCTAAATCTCCACTGAATATTCGAGAGTATCTGTTTAAAATTGACTATCATAGTGTATTTTGAGGTAGGAATATGTATCCATCAGTCGAAGCAGCCACATTTTATATCAGCACATCAATCGAATAAAATCTAAGATTGGAAATAGAGAAAGGAAAAAAATGTAAATTACAATGGAAATATAAACATGAGAAATATGAATTTTACTAGGTGCAGCATATGAGATGGATGAAAGGTAAGATATAAAATGACAAATGAAACTACACCATTGTAACAGATTCTGAGTTATATCACTCAACGTCTCCAATCATGACCCACAATTTTCTCGCAAATTCAAATCAGGAAGTCTAAATGGGAATAAATTTTCAGTCTCGTGCTACGTCTTGTTTTATTCACCCCTTTTAGTATATTTATTAATGAAAATAATTTTTGACAAATGACTATGTGCTTCATCCTTTTTCAAATCGGGAGATAAATACTTTGATAATAATCAATATGTACTAAACAAATATCATGTTTATAAAGCTGCATAGTAAATGGTCTTGAGAATAACACGATATTGCTTAAAGTAATTACTGCTTTAATTCATTCACTAGGTATATTCATTTAACACTCCACGAACTGACCGGACCTAAAATCTCAAATTTCAGTGATAATCATGGCAAGAATGGCCTAAATAATCTAAATTATAATTATCCTTATCATTCTGTTGATTTCTGTACATTTCGAATTATTGATAAGGTGAAAAAGACATAGAAGAATGAAACTAGTTTCTAGGTTCATTGTACATCTGTTTTTTAGTTCTAGAGTTCATGATGTAACAATAAGTTTATAGAAGTAAAACTATATTGCAGTTTTTAGTTTTGCGTGTGAAAAACCAACTTATTGTTTAGCGCACAATCACACAGTAGTTTAGTAAAATGTGGAAATCATGGATGAAATACATCATTTGCACATCTTTGAATTGTCTCTTACAAGCATCATTGTTCCTTCATTCCTGTTTTTATCTTGATTGCTTTCAGTTTCGTTTTCTATTCCAAACTTTCTACTCGCAGATATTCCACTTCCGACTGGTGGTACATACTTATATATGTAAACATAAGTAGCATGCATACACCATATATATGAATAGAAACTTGTCATTGAGATACTATGATTAGTACAAATGTTGAGTCAAAGTTATTTCAAATAACTCAGATAATTGTAGTTAATTTTATCTCCACTTCTTATCATGTAATGTATAGGATTTATAATAACGTGCACCGATGAGCACTTATGCCACATTCTAGTTTAATGATCAGTAATTAAATCCAATGTTAAATAAGATTATTATGTAGTGAAATGGAGAGATTAATTGTAACTTCATATTTTTCCTTCATTGTTAATTCTTTTCTTATATGGTGAATATAACTTTTTTTCTAAGATAACAGAATGATAATACCAACCTAACTGTACGATTAACTATGACACTTCCTCTTATTATTCATGTTAAAAACTGCATAAAATATTGGTTTTAACTAATATTCTTGTCATGATGTGAGGCTTTTTGAAATGTCAAATACAGACATAAACTTTGTGAAATGAGATTTGTCCGTTAGGTTGCCGGAGCTAGTCAACAAGCAACCTTGAACCTAGGTGCCCGTTAGTACTCATCAGCAAGATCTACATGTAATTCTGATGGAGCCGATGCTTCCTCGTTACTTAACTCTACAGTCTGAGACAATAAAACAGCTATTGATCGCCTGTTAGCTAGTCTAGATAAAGTCGTTAGGATTTAACGTAGCTTCCAAAGCATTCATTATTCAAAATGATCATGATTTAGTAATCACTGTGAAATTCATTTTCGTGATAATCTGTCTATCAAGTTTTATAGGTAACCTGTGAAATCTGATATTTCAAGTTACAAATGACTTGTTTCTTCTAACTTGGATATAATATTTCATGTGAACTTGAGATGATTTATTCAGTTTTATGAACATTGATAATGTTAATGTTTTCCCATTAAGAAATAATCAAGACACTTTGTTTTTATTTACTCTGCTGATGTTACGTCTTTTGACCTGGATAGTTGAGTTGTAAGGCTTTCGTTTTCGTTTCGAGCGTCATTAGGACCTTCTGCTTTAAGTATACATTAATATCTAGATTGACAATAAGGCTGGTTCTCAATTATCCAGGTCGTCAAATGTTACATTACTTAGAACACACATATGATATACAAACTTTATCCATCATTATGATTCTTAATGTAAATGTATGTTATTATCCAATATTCATGATAATATTGAGATTTATTTCATTAACACTGAATATATTATTATATAAATATCATATACGTAGATCGTCACTTGGTTTTTTACCTTATTTTGAATATATTTTTGTTTAATTTAGATGTAAACGGTCATTTACTACCGAAAAAGTTTGAGCTTACTTCATCATCAGATGTAACAGCATTACGATCAGAAAATGAATTATTAAATCCATCTCCGAAGAAAGAGGAAACCAATTGGTCAAGAAGTCGTAAGCGTAAAATGCATTACTCGTTTCCTTCCGATGTTAATAATAATAATAATGCCAGATCAATCCGTCGACGAACACAAAGTAGTAATTCATTGCAACCTGACACAAATAATCCTATTGGATTAACTGATACACGAGAAACATGTGAAGATGATGATGAAAGTCGACTAATGGAATGTGTTTCTGAATGTACTAAATCTTCAGATGATTCTAGACCTAATAGTCCTTTGGTTGGGCCAGTTTTATTGAATTCAATGTTTGATTTAAATGCACATGTTTTCAAAGCGTATCAAGATAATAATAACAATCGATCTCTTAGTATATCAAGTGAACTAGCTTCACGAGTTCTATTTCTTACTGTGGATTGGTTACGTCGTTTCGATGGCTTGAAGCGTCTACCGTAAGCGAAATTATATATATTTCAGTACTTATTTTCATTAATGTTTGTTTTATACATACTAAATTTACGGAAGATTGTACAATACATAGTTACTAATTTCTACAATCTAAATATTTAGAACCATATCCAGATAGTATAATCCTACTTTACAATCTTTATTAAAGTAATCGTGAATCTATTTATATTGGTATTTGGAGATTGAAATGTGAAAATGTATTTCTAATACTGTAAGAAGTATTTATCATTCATAAGGATTTGTTTTAAAAGAAAAAGAAAACTAATCGAAAATATTCTTCATTTCGTAAGGTAAAACTATTACTTTTTCTGTTGTTGAAAAAACAAAACAAACAAATATAATCATTAATCTACTTTGTATTTAGACAGTTCGGAATTAACATGGTATAAAATTCTATCTACAATGGATTTAATTAAAATAACCTTTTATTATGTGTATTTAAGATTAAGTTTTAGAAATTCAAGTGATTTTTTCTCTTTTGTTTCTGACAAGTATTAATTTTACTCGGTCTATTATTATTATGAGGTGTAGTGTCTGTTGGAGAATCGTGAACATCAAAAAGTTAATGAACAACAGTTTCATTCTATTCTCGGATTCATCCACATACAACACACATACATACACACACACACAAAACATTTCTTAAATGTTAAACTTACATTATAAAAAAAGGTTTCTATGATTTCATCTTTAGATGATACAATAATATAAAGTGAATATCAGATATGTTAAACATGTTTAAGTATTAACTTAAAAACGGTGTCTTTATGCTAGTCTCACGTCATCTTAAAAAGGGTACAAATCAATTGAGATTAGATTTATCATTAATCTATTATTTAATAATAATAATGAATTCAACATTATGTGACCTAGAATATACTGTGTAGGTTTTAAAAAAATCTTTGTATTAATTTTTTTAACACTAGTTTATATTCATCAAACTGAAAACAGAAGAAAAGTGAATCATGCATTTTTTTTCTTCGTCATTGAATCATGCCTACATTTATACATTTTTTTTCTCTTCTTCTGACGTTTATTAAATCTTCAAACTGGGTTAAATTGCTTTATATAGTGATAAGATGAAAAATAAAATCTCCTTGTTTTTAATTGTTTTATCAAGTTTCTGCTTGTGTTTGTGTATGTAGGTAGATACGAGTATAATGGATAGATTATAAGTAAAAATATTGGTAACTAATCCGTTAAGAGTACAATATATATAAGTTTTAATCACTATAAACCGAGTGTTATCAATTATGTGCACTTGGAATAATTCACCTATCTAGAACCAATCATGTATGTGTTTGTGTGTTATACTCGAGTAGTGTCCAGGTCATTTTTAACACTAGAAGTGTGGATATATTAGAATGAATCTCGTTGATCTTATATTCTTTTCTGAAATTATTTAAAATTTATTCAGATCAATGTAGAAATTATAATTTTCTAAATCTACTAATAAATTTGTTCATAATCAATTTCATTTATTACTTTTTTCCTACGTTTTGTTCTCACTGATAGTGAAATTAGTGTGTTATGTCATAGATTTATCGGTACAATAAATTATTTCACAGATTGAAATCACGAGTCAATTGAAGCTAGACTACCATGGAAAACCTGGAAGCACTGGACAGCCATTTCGTCCTAGTATGAGACTCCTCAGTAGTGCGCATCCACGATCCTGCACCCCGCGAGATTCGAACCCAGGACACATCAGTCTCGCGCCAAGCGCTTAAACAACTAGACCACTGAGTCGGAAGCACTGCTGAGGAGTCCCATACTAAGACGAAACGGCCGTCCAGTGCTTCCAGGTTTTCTATGGTAGTCTAGCTTCAATTGACTCATGATTTCAATCTGTGAAATTTTTTAAAATCTCCACAAACCCCTTCTGATAATAAATTATTTATCTCTTCCTGTGTATTTTAAGTGATATAAGGGATTGATTGTATGAGGCGTGAATGTATTTTAAAAGTTTAGCATATAAACACTTGATTAACAAAATTGAACAACGTTTTTGTTGTATAGAGATTTCAATATATTTAATAACCATAATGAAATTAAGGTGTACTGAATTGTTATTTGACAGTTAAGAAATAAATGTGGAATTGTCACAGTTGTTAAGGAAAAAAATTTAATGATTTTATACTTTCTGGGTACTAGTGAAATGAATAAATATTCATTCTTAGTTTCAAATGAACACAAAATCTGTCTTCAACTGTAGTTACTTACCGGATATTAGGGGATAATAAAAAAAGTTAACAATTGCCCACATTGTATTATCTGAAACACCAATTGATTTGATATTTTAGTATATAAAGGAAATTTTTATTTCTGACTGATTAGTTTTTCAATCAGTTTCATAAAACTTGGGAGCACTGTTCCTTGTCGTAAGTAGTTTTTGTTTATATTGATCATTAATATGATGTTGATCAGCTCTTATGCTTTACCTTCTTGACACTTTCAGATCATTTAAATTTTCTTAGCTAACTTTTATTCAAGTGTTATCTTCAACTTGAACTGTGACTTTTGAAAACATTGATGTCACTTCTAATCACACGACACACAATGTAATAATGATTTTATTAATGTTTTTTAATAAATAATTGAGTTTTACTTTCCTTTTAGAATTGGAGTTCAACGTGATTTAGTGGCTATTTCCTGGTCTGACCTTTTTGTGCTTGGATTATGTCAAGCAGCTGACCAAATTAATCGTTCTCAGAATCATAGGCCAAATCAAGAATCAAACGACTCGCAACCAACAAATAGCTTATGTGCACAAAACGACATTAATTCTACAAGAGGTAAGCCAATAATGTTTGTAATTTTCGCGAAGCTACTATAACGATTAGTAGTAGTCAGTTTTAGTTAAAAAACATTTATTTGATATTTGTGTCTCGGCTTTACCATTATTACGGCGACGGTTTATTTTTATATTGATTTAAACACGTTGATACGTATTGTTACTTTTTTTATTTCAAAGTAGTAAACATTGAATGCTAAAACTGGAGTTGGCTTCTAGGCTTTTGTTTTGTATGGTTGCTTAAAGTAATAATTAGCGGAATACAAAGTTATCTAAACCAGAATCAGGTTGAGAAAGAAACTTACCCTTTGAAGCCCATCACAAGTTAGCAGGCGACCTTTCCAATTGAGTTGGAGAACCGCTGGTCAGCGAACCGGGTGGATTGTATAAAAGGAATAGGGGGACGGAGAGTTCTTCATTGTTTTGCAATGAAGCGGTCGTCGTTCTCATTTTTAGTAAGGCTCTACCTAGTTTATGCAACAGTGATTTCGTTGCTTCTAAATTTTTGACTTACACTATTGTCTTCAGATTTTCTAGAAAAAACTTAAAACACTTGCTTGAGAGGAACAGATTGGTTTTAGTTTCGGTCGAGGATACAGTGATCACGTTTTCGCCTTCGTCAATTGTTACAACATCGCCACACTAATGACAAATCAGCATTCGTTGTGTTTCTTGATATCACGGTCGTTTTAATTCGTTGAACAGGATTGCCCGTTGAAGTAGAGTTTAGCTGTGAAGTTTATTAACATTTTGGAGGCTCTGTATACAAACTTCAGACTGAGTGAGATCATATGACCACATTTTTCTATTGTTCCAATCAAACAGTGGAGTTTGTCAATGTCGTATAATTCCATCATTAACCATATTCCTCAGGCAGCTCTGAAGGAAGTATGCGATGGTGGAGTGAGTCTGTTACATGAGGAAAGATTTTAGCTGTGAATCAACGGATAACATTGTTTTACTGTGCGATGATATACTAGATATTCAGTTGGGAATTAATGTCCTTATGTGAATCATGTACTTTCTTATTTTCAAGTGCTTCTGCAAGACTGAGGAAAGCCTGTTTCTGCACTTCGTCTTTATGATAAGCGGTTGGAAAAACTCGTCTGTCTGAGCAGTTGTGTTAGTGCTGGATGTGGCATAGCAGAAATGAGATCAATATACGTATAGTGAAAGCCGGAATAGCATATGCAAATCTGGGAACTTCATGATCTTAGTGTGGTTGTTGAAAGTCAGGTTCACTTGTTAGTGAGAACAGTTCTAGTATGTTTTGAAAACCTAGCCCTTCTGAGCTTGTTGTATTATTAACTGAATGGTATCTCTAATCATATACCATTTTAATTCATTTTACTACCTTTCCTGTGTTTCTTCACAATATTATCAATGAAGTTTTATGGAGCATATTTTATATATTCTCTTATTTTTTAAATCAATAAAGAATACTCCAAGCTTACATTTTTACAGCTGTGTCTATGTTTGTATTGTTGCTAATTGTCTTAAATTTTAAAAGGATTTCTACAAATCTTACTAGCAACTTTTATAAATTACTGATCGTTTAATGTGAAATGAAAATTTATCACTTCTGAGTTGTTCTAAAGTGTTATATACAGGTTACCATAAACTAAGTTTAAGTGATCTATCAAATTGACTAGATCATGTTGTAGTTTCGAACAATTTAATATAAATCCTTATTGATACTTCAGAAATTATTTTTTTCCTAATGTGTTTCAACTTTATTATTTTATAGGGGAATGTTTTACTACTACTCTGAACATCAAAATTGTGCTTAGAGTAAATTGATGAATATCTTGAATTTTCTTTTATTGGGTCTATTTCGTTTATGGTATTGATAATATTCATTTTATTTACTTACATTACTTTTAAATAATCTACTTTACAATTGACAGTTAAACAAATCTCAGGAGAACAACAAACAAATTCTCCTTGTAGTATTGCACCAACTAATTCATTTAAATCCAATAATTTTGATTCATCATCATCTTCACATATTTCATCTATCAAAGAACCAATGGATACTTCGTACTTAAAGACAAATTCATCATCTTCGGCTGTGATAGAACTAGTGGAACAGCTGATGAAACAATTCTCAGGAGCTGAAGTTGACACACATGAATATACTTATCTTAGATGTATGGTTATACTTAGCTCCGGTAGGTAAAATGATATTATTTATTTTAAAATGTCACATTGTTTTTTCCACATATTTTATTACCATTAAATAGAGTTGAGCTAGTTATATATTACGTCATATTCATTTAAAATGATATCTGTTATTAAACGGTAGGTAAAATAGTGTAATTTTTCTTTAGCAATTGATTCAAAGGAAATCGTTCTTTTTTTCCTTTACATTAAATCGTACATTAATTCTCCATTGAGCTGAATGTCGAGGACTAACTACTGATTAATTATTGACTCATATATTGATATACGACTACATTAATTAATTTTGGGAATGATTTTCTTTTAGTTCATGTATATCTATTGATTATCAATATTATTTATAGACTTTTTTGATCATAACTTCAGTTTGTTAAAGTTCTAATCAGTATAGAATTAGATTTGAGATATTATTCTACTTTCATATTCATTAATTTATTGGATATAAATGTACTTATCCATGATCATTTCAAACTAATCTTATTCAACAATAGAAATTTATAGAAATTGTATAACTTTTAGTAAAGTCTCATTTTTCTATTTATTTTTAAGGTCGTTTATGCATTAATGCAAGAGATGCCAGTTTAGCTAAACAAATTACTGAAATGGAATCACGTGTATTAAGCGAATTTTCTGAATTCTTGTCTACACGTGCAGCATCCTCTACAACTACTGGTACTGGTTCTCTTTCATCGAAAAGAACAAAACCTATTATTAAAAGAGTTCTTATATTGACACAATTATTATCTACACTGCGCTACTTAGATCCAAAAGATTTAGAAGAAGCATTTTTCTCAAGTGAGTTTTTTCTTTCTGTTGGTGATTTTCTTCTTAAAACTGCACTATATATCCATTTGTTGTTTGGATGGATAGTAATAAACGAAATTGTAAGTGTTCAATTTCTCTTGAACCAGTTAAAAGAAGTGTATATTTTGTTAAACCATATAATGCATCAGTGTACATGGAATTAATCGCAATACTCTCAGACTGTGAATATATTTTTCTTTGTTAAAAATAATCTATCTTGGCCAGTAGTTTATTAACTAATGACAGTCTCCACATTATAATCAAAGTAACTTTTAGGTAGAGATCGGCTTACCTAGTCTTTTTTAAAGGGTAGCCCTGATAATATTTTTCTAGTTCATTTTTCCGCTATAGCATTTACTGTTGCTTGGTTATCATCACCCTTAGTTTACTTCATCAAGTGAATATTCTGTTTTGCCTATTTAGCGTGTTTATTAACGTTGAACCGTGCAGATATCCAGACCATTCTAGTTTCTATAGCTTGAGTCGTAATATTAGAAGAATCCTCAATCGTTCGTAAACGAAACTTACCGTAGGCTGACCGGAAACCCTAATCGTTATCGTGGTAGTAACTAAGCAGCTCCTATATGATCCTGTTTAGTGTTCATATCCTTGATCAAATGACAACGGAAGTAAAAAATGCCCAATTAGTTTGTGACTCCACGGTTTGTGGATATGATCGAACTTGTAGGTAAAATCTTTTGTTTGTTCGAGATGTGTACATCAATGATGATGTATCAATGCGAGGGAGGATATGTATATAAAATCCTATTCATTATGTATAATTTAGATATCCTTGGATTTAGATTGTCGCTGCGACAGTCCGTATTTCAAAATCAAGTAGGAAGCTGTCTAGTCAAGTTCACAGTTAGAATTCGGTTAATATGATATTCTCTGATATCCAATAGGAGTAACTGCAAACATTTCGGTTCTAAATAAATTTCCATCATCTAACAAACTAACCACAACTGTTAAACAACAATCTTATTTGAGAAGGATTTGGCAAATAAAGTGAATTAAGTTGAACGTTAGTATGCGGATAACGAGTTCCAAGGGAACTCTACTAGATTATTTCAAGGTCATCCACATACTAATCACGGTGAACCTACTCAACACGGAGTCAATAGTTTATACAAATATTAGCAGACTTAGCGATCTTAGTTCCATGAGGTAGTAGTTATCCATAACTTATTATCAAATGCAATTAATTAAGGCGGCCTGCTTGAGCATCTGGGCTACCTGTTCCTGCCATCTAAATATTTCAACAAGTTATCTATTTTTGTTTGTTTTAATATATCATTATGTCTATCAATCGCATAACCTATTCTTCTGCGTTTCTAAAAAGTGTACAACCTTTCGTTGTCAAAGTTACAAAAACCTCAATAAGAGAGAATGTGGTTGCTGACAATATACAACGAAAAAAATGTACATTATTCAGATGTTCATTTACTGGACTGTTAACATCTAACTGGCAATCACTCAATATTTATCGCCAGGACCGACCAGGAAGAAAGAAAAGGAAACTTGTCGAAATACTTTGCACTGAGAATTCTATATTGTACCAAAAATATAATATTGAGTAAAGCTAATAATAATAATAAACTATGCACCGATTAACATTTTAAAGTATGCTTTGTTTGATGTAATTACAAAATAAACTCTCAAACTTTCCTTTTTTTACTGCCAGATTTACTTGGTTCTGTATCGATTGCTCAGATCCTCCCATACTTACTGGAATCAAATGACCTATTTACTCAAAGTCAATTAGTAATGAATTCATGCCTGCCGGATAATTCTCTGGATTATAAGCCCGGTTTAAATCATGTCAAACATCCTAACAAACAAGCTTCGAGGTCTAGTTTGGAAGATAGTGTGACAAATTTTACCGGGGATTCTCTCCCTAACAACATGACGGAGAAAACTGATAATCCTTCCTCTTCGTTGTTAATTCGCCCTGACCAGACGTCTCCACAGAGCAGATCAGCTTCTTGTGAGATTACAGTCACGAACATTGAACTAAACAATCAAAACACAGAACCAGTAAATAGTATATCATTTGCGAACGACGAAACTAATGACTTGGCCTAGGAACCAGTGTTAGGATACATAATATTTAATCATAGATGAAATAATTTCCCTCCTATAACGTCTTTCTTATCAAACCGCATCAAATTTGAAAGGACTGAGAAGATAAAGCGCCTTCTTGCTTTCAGCGCCATTCCGTTCAAAAGATTACTGCTTATTAAGTTCTATGCTGAAAACAAATATTTGAAGTGGTTTTACATGACATAAAAATAGATAATTATAATACTTAACAAAATATGCACTAGCGATTATTTGTGCCGGTATAAAATGGGTGGTTTCAACGTTTATCTTCTTCTCAAGATCTTTTCATTCAGTAATTATAAAAAAGACGAAATTTGTACATTTTTCTAAATTCTTTACTTACAGACAGAATGAGGGTTGTAGTTACTAATTTACACTTTCCAATTTATACACATTATACATTCAGTCTTAAATGATATACAGCTACCTCATCTCTCTGTACACCAGGTTTAATACGTATTCGTTATTCTTGTTTCGTGTTGTTGATGATGCAAAACATACAAATTAGAAGATCCTCTTAATCATTCCTATAATTTACCCATATATATATACTCACCTATAAATATGTATACATGAGCCTACTTTTTACAGCTTTTAATTTTTTGTCCCGTTTAATGATTTCAGATTATTTATATCGTAAACAAAAATTATAAATTTGGCAAACTTTTTTATTATCTATACATTTGTTGTCTTGCTTAAATAATTTTACTATCTACTGATAATGATTTAAACTGTTATGATTTCAAACTACTGATATGATTTCTATTCACTCGACTATTGTGTATTAATTGGACATTGAGAGTAAAGACAATAATGATAATTGTTATTGACGGACGAAGAGCGCCATCTCTTGATTTTGTGATTTGAATCTAACTCAACTAATTTATTTATGGGTGAACAAATATTACATAAATACACTAATGAGTGGATCAGGAACTCGGGGTACTCTTATACTTCGGTTGCTTCCACCTTTTACTATTTTCTTTGCCTACAAAAATCCATAATGTATTTAACTAATGTTGTGTGATATCTTGAATATGGAATTAACATCTTACTTCTCTTCCTATCTTGTTTTTGTTTTGTGCCTGTACTCCAAATGTAGATGTGTTAATAACCGTGATTTAAATATTAAAATAATATTGTAAGTCTATGTTTGTCTCTCTCCATATATATACTTCAAACTATTATGTGGACGTAAATTCAAAGTTCCAGGTTCCCATAGATATTCTAACATGTTATGAGAGGAACTTCAGCTAGACTGTAGATGCCTTTTACTATTAGCGCACCTATTTTTTTGACACACACAATCATCTTTCGTAAACACATATAAAGCAAAACACGAGATGTTATCGTAAGTAATCTTTCAAACAATTAACGAGTACGATAGCAATCTACATAATTAGTACAATTTGACAGTTTATTGGTTAAGAATTACATATTAAGGGCTTTACTTGTCGGCTAAGCTTCGTAGACCAATCAATCTAATTTAGAAAGAATTTTACAAAAATGGTAAATATTATGCATATGTAAATGGAATAGTTGGCTTTAATGCGCTAAGTAGTTAGCTCGTTTATTGAAATAGTATTGAACACCTGAAAAAATTAGCAGGACGACGTAGATCCCAGCAGCTATAAAACAGTTATTTGACACCATTACATAAGCTTCCTCCACATGTAAGGGAGCATAGCCACTAGCAGCCCAAGCTGTTTCATTTAGTGGTATGTCTTCAGAGAATGCGACTGAGTTTACGCGTGCAAAAACACCCATAAGAAGCTGTAAACAAAACAATCAGACAAGATAGGGTTAGAACTAACGACTAATAGGAAACCTATATAGCAGGATAAGTCCTGATACTAGTAAATGACCATAAATTATTCCAATGCATTAAAACATTATGAGGGGGAATAATGGTTATATCTAACTGCAGGAAAAATAAAGTATTCAATAAAAGGATGACGGTATTAGCAGTACACACACTTAAGATACTAAAATATCTAACTTTTAAAATCTCAACCAAAAATAAACATGCTTTTTTGAGGCTTCCACCACTATGAAATAAAGTGCTGGGAAGTTAAGTTTTCTCATTTTATGGAAGCAGGTATTATATCCTGGTCACAAGGCATGGTAGTAAAATTTTAGTGACCCAAAAGAGTTACGTCTAAAGTTTGACGCGAGAGCTTTACATTGAATTTAACTTCCCTGTGGACAAGTGATAACGGTGGATTTGTAATACAAATGGATCGACGCTTGTGACAAAATGCAACGATAATATGCTTTTAAGCTTGTCTAACTCACGCTCCTTTTATTTTACTGATAACGTTGAGTGATTACTACGTATAATTTCTCATCTACCCATAGAGTAAAGCACAAAGTATAACTACATTGATTAGATAAAAAATATTTTACGAAGTTCCAGCAGTAATATTCCTGATTAGAGCTTGTAGTTTGGGCTATGTATGACTGCAGCAACGTCAGTGGTTTCAGCATGGTCACTGGACTGTATGTCTACTTACATAATACGGACGCTCGGCGCTGACCTACTGAAATTTTTAGTTACATGTTTCAATGGCAAAGTAGAGGATATCTTAGTGGTTAAAACACTCGAGTTTCACATACTAGACAGTGGTTTGGACGTCGTTTTAGCTATTTCGATCTGGACAGTCAGACAATATCGCTAATTTTAAGAGTACAGCTAAAACTGAGTATGTAAATCTAATTGTCTATGGTGTTCATCTATATTAGTTTAACAAGAAAAGGTATAACAAGTAACTTACTGAAGACCTTAACAAGATCCGAATAGTCAATGGACACAGCTTCTTTATTAATCGTGCCCATGTTCTGACAAATTTTGAGTATCAATAGTTTGAAAAGTTTGTTAATATCCACTAGTTTTATACAGGTCGTTTTTCTAACAAATCGTAACTATAAATTACATTATTTCAATAAGACCGCTTACGCAGACTTTAGAAATACACTTTCAGTAACCTCATTCTAGAATGGAATGCTCTTTTAATTCAGTCAGTTATCTAAAACGTAGGACCAAGCACATATATGCATCGGCCCGAATTCGCATACCTCATTAGCACAAGATGAACATTAAATCCATAGAAGCAGTTACTTTAATGGTAGACTGGAAAAAGACTGCATATAAGGACATGATATAGGGAGAGAGAATTGGTTCATAGAAGGAAAGGTAAAAAAGTAAATTTAATCTCAGTTTTAAATGTGAACACATGAATTAGAGATGGAATTTTGTAACAGGTTCATTACTTAGAATAAGAATTTCTTATGAATAATCAGGTACATGTCCTCAGACGAATGCGTCACGAAATCCCAAACCACATGGTGAATCTTACGGGACTTATGTGCTAAGCATTACAGGCGGTGCACGGCTACATTTGAATTTTGTATATCCATGCCGGAAATATACTGTGCATTGACTATTTGAGATACTAAGGATTAAAGGATATGGTTCAGAAGACATATAACGTGCAACTAAGTATCCTGTTCTAGTACGTTAGAACTATTGCGGATGCCCGTATTGTTCGTAAATGTAACTGGATCAGAAGCCCACGATACTGTAGGTGTGGTTTTGGTTACGAGGATTTTTGAGGAAAAAATATGCACAGGTAAGGGTGGTGATGATCAATAAAGATCACGCAGGAAATTAGCCAACTCAACTTAAGGAATCCAGGTTATGGGCTGAGAAGTAATATGAAAGTAAAACCTTGTTGTTTGTAAAGAGGGAAATCTTCCCCATTTACGGGATATAGTTATGTACGAACTCAAAAGTCTATAAATCGAGGTATTGTATTTTGTATATTCGGTTTTTGATAATAAAGTTAAAAAAGTTACACTTCACATGAATGGATAGATTGTTGAAATATCACTTAACTTAAGAATAAAACGCCCGTTTGTTGAGCCCCAACATTTACAACAAAATGTAGACATGATTTTTAGGTTTATATAGTTCACTTAAACTTTTAGACTGACAGTAGGATTATCGTGAATTAAAGAACGGATAGTTAAAATCACCGGCTTTTTCCTTAGTTTTCATATAGAAACGAATTTGACAAAAAGGTGACTCTTGGCCCATCTTATTTAACAGGTTTTAAGATGGGGAACATTAAAATATGTGACTATAACTGATTCATGCCCACCATTATAAATTACAGATAATTCATCACAAATGAACACCCACTTAAAACAAGGTGATATCAAAAGTAATGATGGAAACTAGCTTGGATTCAGAAGTCTGAAAAACATCTACAAGTCTCTGATAAATACTAGTATTTGACTACAGATGCCTTAGAAATATTGCTGGCGTCTGTTGGGATCACCGGGTAAGTAATAGTGAGGTTAGACGCAGGGCATTAGGAGATGATGGTAAATCAGTTGATGAGTTTGTTAATCTTCATCGACTGAGATGGTTGGGCCAAGTGTTACGTATGCCCGAACACCGATTACCACGACGTGCAATTCTAACCGGTATTGGAGATGGTTGGAAGAAAGTTAGGGGCGGCCAAACAAAAACGTGGCATCAGTGCTTGAAGTCACTAACTTCTAGTCTGAGCCATGTTGGTAGATGCAGACTACTTGGTTGGGGTCCGCGTGACTATCGTAACCAATGGTTGGAGACTCTTGGTGACATGACTCAGAATCGATCACAATGGCGTTGGTGTATACACTCTCTGTCTTCCCTTAAACTAAGAGATTAAAATCGCTTCATACCTTTCTTTCTACGAACCAATTCTTTCTTCTTGTACTATACCTCTATATGCAATCTTTCTCTTATACATTAACACCTTTGACATAACCACTGTTATGAATCCGGTGTTCATCTTGTTGTGCTGATGCGGTATGGCAACCTGGACCGATGCACATATGTGCCTGGTCCTACATTGTAACTGACGAGTCTTGGATAAATGGTTTTGGATCTAGTTACTTACGCCCGTGTAACTTGTCACCTTAAAATACATTTTCATGAAAATTCGCTGATTTTTTAACATAAAAATGTTGTATGCAATAATGTCTGGAGGGAAGATATCGAGCAGACGAACTGGAATGTCCATTATTCATTGAATTAGTTCATCTTTATACGTGAAGGAATCTAAGGAAGATACCGGATTGCATGGTGGACGGTCAAACAAACCTTATCAAGTAAATATTGAGTTTAATTTAAAGAAAATATCCGATAGGTGAGAAATGAGATGGCTGGAACAAAAACTAGTTCTACATAACGATTCACCGGACGAGTTGGGTTGTTTTGGACGTTGTGTGATATTCAAAAGAGAATGAAGACTTCTGCAAACCTAGGATATAAGTTAAGTACATTAAATATACCTTCTGGATAAAGTATGGGTTGCCAGAAGTGCGTAGATGTAACTTTCACATTTGATATAATCCTAAACAACCATTATACAGTTACAAACGTTTGCACATTCAGCAACCCACACTTAGCCCAGAAATTAGGTAACGGTGGCTAGCTTACGAATCTTAATGAGAAAATGTGGTATTTGTACTAACTGATGATTCCTTTGTACTTGATGGTACGCTTAAGAGTATTGTCTTTGGAATTCGTAATCATTATTACGAATTCCAAACACAATACGTTCAGTCGAGGTCACTTCATTTCACACACCTTAAATTACACTATTTCCGGAGTTTATAGTTAGAAAATCAGTTTAAGTACTCTTAATCATTATAGAATATTCTACTAAATTTACTTGATGAAAGTAATTAAATTTTGTCAACAATTAAGGCGAGATAGTTCTTTCTAGAGTTCACATCTGGACATGACAAATTTCCGCTATTTAATTTAATTAATTTTTGAAGACTTACGAGCATCAATATCCCCCAAACACTGAGAAGAAGAAGGACCACCGAGCACTTTGGCCCTACGAGCGCCATTTTTATACTTGCGCGCCTGTTCTCTAATCCTTAAACTGCCTCAATCCAAATAGTGACTTGATTATACCTTTTGATATGTATATGAGTTGTACAATACTATACTTGATTGTGAAACAGAAGAATTTGGATAAAATCAATGTTCGTTGTTAAATTGTCAATATTAAGCGTTTCCTGTCCACTTAGAGAGTTGATGCTGGATATGAGAAGAAAATTTTGCACTTATTGTTTAATTCTCATTTGTACATTTTACTGCGTCCGATTTTTTATACCAGGAATATGCAGTGGGCTACCATGTACCATTCGTTGAAGACAAGTGTAAATATCCTTATGTGATTGAAATGAAACTTCCAGTAAAAACCGAACTATTATTTATAGTATTGACCCTGTAGTTGAACAGGAAGTTGTTCTAAAATTCTTGTAGGGTCAGTAAAATGTCACTGTGCCCAAGCCAAATCATGCGAAAGTCTGGTCACTGAATGTGAAACAGTTCACTGATACTCGTCAAGGTCAAGAGCAACCAACGCGCATCAATTTATGGACGGCCCATGCAGCAGTGATCGCACTCTGCTCCTTGTACCTACTCTGTAATAACTTCGTTTGTGTTGTACGATCATCAAGGTAGCGATTTTACCTGGATACTACGAAAGGTTGATCAATGTTAGATACTTAGCACGAGGTATGACTACGACGCCATCTCATTGTTAGCACCATTACCGTCTAACTCAGCTAGGCCCCTAAGTTTTAGACACAGATCATCTACATTCCAGATACTACACGCTTATAGAATAGTGAAAAGGGATAATTATTCCCGCGCCAAAATTCCTGTTTTGAATGCTTGGGTGGATGAAAATTGGTATATTTCTGACAACTCAAGTTGAGAGATTAAAAGTGTCCCAAAAACATCATGGTAATAATTACGGCTCAAATATTTATTTCCTTTCTTATTTTGCGCTGGCATTACATTTCCTACTATCTCATATTGAACTTTGAGATCTTTTTACTCGGTTGAAATCATTACCTCGCGCTCTAATTGTACTATTTCATGATCTGAGAAAAACATACTACAGCAATCAGCTTGGCTTATTTGAAATGGAAAAACGAAGGGTAACTGCCAGTACCAAATTCAATGCAAGAAGCTTCTGTTTTACTTATTTCTTGTTAGGTCGTAAAACGAAACTTGATATATCAGTAAGATTATCGTGAACATAAGTTCCATATACATATATCGAACATTATCCACGTTGGAGTCATTTTTTCGCTCCGTTTACATTATATTCATACATTTGTCACTTAGTACATGTCAGACTGAATACGGAGTGAAAGCGTGTAAGATAAGTATGAGATGTCACCGGAAGAATTAGAAAATCCTTGGAATAAGGAAGCATGACTCCACTGATTGGACCGTAGTGGCTTTGAGTTGCTCTGTGCTCGATCGGAGAATTATTTTCACGAGACATATTATATCTGATGTAACTTGCTATCCTCTCTCCTTCAGTTACCAAAGAAGTGTGCAGCTTAATTTTGATTCCCCTAACCATGTGTCCTTTTAAGACTTGAGACAATGAACCATCTGTTGTCATTAGACTGCCAAATAATTCAAAGGCTCTATCGGGGAGAAACATCAGGTAATAGGTCACCACCACAAATTGTAGTGGCTAGGCTTCGGGATAATTCCTTAGGCTTCGTTTATCAATCACCACTGATAACGGTTGATAAATAGATCTCAACGGTGTGTGAATTCAAAAGGCTATACAAAGGCTCGACTACAGTTTATTAATAGATAGTGTGGATAACAAAGTTACAAGCACATCGAATGAATTTGAACAGAAAGTCTAATGTACGCGAGCAAGTGGACACAGAGGTGGATTCAGAGTCAATATATGCCTTATGCACAAAGGCATATAGATGATTTGTCATTCGGCAGTTCGGATCTAAAATCTCATAAATAACACGAAGGGGAGTGTTTGGACGGCTAAATAAAAAGAATGAGAGTACATCAATGTAGTTGTGTTTTCGCAGTTCAAAGTTTTGAATTTTTCGGCTACGCAATAATCCTGGGAGCGATTACACCTATCACAGATCAGGTAGACAACTAAAGATGCCACAGATATTCGAAGTTTGACGACTTGCCTATCTGTTACACATTTTCAACCTAAGTGGGCCGACTCATTCAAATCGGGAGTCACAAATGAAGAGGTTAGAGGATATGTTTCAAAGGCTATAGATATATCAGGAAGCGTTTAGTCTAGGCTGGGTAGTAGTTGTAAAAGATGTGTAGCATGGCATACTCACTCGTGATCTGGCGCGAGTGAGTGGACGAGAGCCTTCACCAGGTGTGTCGAGCAAAACAGATAAGGTTAACATCAGCGTCAAAAACTTACAGAACAATTTATTTTGGGGGTTTATTCACTACTACAGTACTGTTCCACGATCTCAGTAAAACCTTACTGCAACCACCAGCCTGGCCTCTTTGAAATAGGGAACAACGTGTAAATTTCAGCAATAAATACTCTCAGATAGGATCATTAGTCTTTAGTTAAATGTGAAATCACTAACGGAAGCGACAGGGTGCACCATCATTATCTAAGTTCCACGACTTTGAAAGCTTATTCACTTAAACTTCACATGCCTTTCTAGGTGGTCTGTCATGCTATACTTTTAGGTGATTTATTTGTTAGTTTCGCTTCAGCCTCTATAATTACAATACTTCAACAAATATGTAGCAACGAATATATTAAGTTATGAAAGGAATAGTTATTAAGATCCTCGTATGAATTGAAGTGCAGTGAAGTATAATTGGTGTAAATCAACGTTAAAATGAAGATTCCAATCGAATTTCCCATGTAAAACAAAATGTATGAGGATTTATTGAAGTATTTGACAGAAACTCATTATTGTATTTAATAGTACGACTTCAAAGTTGCCTAGTGTACATAACAAGTCAACTGTATATAGCGGAATCAAGCGAAGATTGCTTTATTATTATTGACCACAACAATTTCAAATAATTTGTTTCTGTGTCAACTATTTTCCCAAATTGATTGCCCCTATTTCCCACCATTTTGTTTTACGTTGGATGTGTGCTAACCTCTTCAGGAACATTATATTTCGGTTGGCTCGGCTATAATAAAGTACACGTCAAGTATTTAACCTGAACCTTCGTTATTCCATGCTGTTTTTGGCTTCTCAAATACTTCATTCAAAGCCCACAAAATGACGGTTGATGGTTGATTTATTTTCTCATAATTTCGTAACCTGTTTTTCTGATAAGCTGAATGTCCTGAAAGTCCTTTCAAAGTTCTGTATTCAACAGTTGTCTTTTCTTGGGGTCACTACGATCGAATTATAGGTGCTTGACTAACATAGTCATGACTGTCTTTTTCTACCGGTGACAACTCACAATGGTCTTTCAGGCTTTTGGTTCGGGTTGACTCTGAAATGTGGTATATGACCAATATATGAATACAATATGAACGGGGTAAAACAATGACTACAACACGAGTAACTCTCAATACAAAACAACATTCACGCCGGAAATAATCAGGAGATTTTCTTTTACGACTAAACAAAAGACATTGACAAATATGCAAAACAGAAATTAAATTTGTGCACAAAATAGGGCTACTCAATTCCATGCTAGTGAGTAACCCTCGTTTTACAGGTATAATAAACTGGACTGATAGTGAATAGGTCTTTATGTAGATCTTAGACTGTCCAGTAGACCGCGAGGTTATCTTTTCAAGCACACAAAGCTTTTCAACATTCAGTACAAAATAATGGGAGAGATAATACACATAAAAAATAAGGAAGTGAATGAATACTTGAGTTATAATGTTCGGAAATTTACTTAGATGTCTGTGGTCGATTCTTAACCAATCAACCTAAGTTGTTGCAACTGTTGAAGTCTGGTCATTGGAGTTATTATGACATCCTTGTCGTAATTTTATTCAGGTGTTTAATGATCTTATTTCTCGGCGATCCAGCTGCAAACATTGGTCTGAAATTTCATGGTTTGTTTTCTCTGTGACTTCAGTAATGCATATACTTGCTATGTTTACCGTGGGTGATTATGAATAGTGCTGCATTTTCAAATTACGGACTTTTGCAGTTTACATTTGCTTCCATTAACTGACATACACCATGTACACTTTGTTTTGTGTGGTTTCTATAAGCATAATTGAGGTTTGCTCATCGGACCTTTGTTTACTTCCCCTTGGCTTGTTTTGCGTCAGAAGGTGCAAAGGTAATCAGAAAATCTGTGGAGTAACTCAGTTTTGACGTCATCCACTCTACCGCTCTCCCCATGTTCAATACGTAAAACTTAACCTCTGATGTTAGGCTAGAATGAAAAACCAACAATTCGCAGAGGAAAGAGTACCTTTCTCCTCATTTCATAACCTCAGGTTTTGAAGTTTAAGTTCTATGTCAATTGATCTGTACTATAATGAATCACAGTCAAAATATGTTTTACCCCATTCTCTTATATATAGGTCGATATTTACGGATGTGGAAGGCGGGGATTCAGAAGTGTCGGTGTGATATGCAACCAGTCTGTCAGTGGTATGTATTTACTGGTACTCTGAGACCTCGATACCTGCTAAAATTTACCGGGATGTATCCAAATGCTGTGAGATAATAAAGATTATTGCTAAAGACGCGGTAACATTAGGACTTCAGATTGTACGGCTCGTCAGTTATCCGATACTGCCATTAATACACCTATAAGATGTCGTCTAGAGAACGAGATTAACTACGTCTCACCATCGTGGGAAGGATGCTGATCATCTGTGAAGATTATGAAGAAGGAAGGTCAGTACCATAATTAAACGTAGAAATAAAACCTGCTGAGTTTGGGCCGGAGCATTAATGTTATAACTTGTGCAATAGGGATAAATAGACGGAATATGATCACGGTGTACTTAAGTAGGTGAGGACCCCCTTGAATCTCAAAACTACACTAAAGAGGACGTTATTTAGAGACAGAAGTTGAAAGGGTTGAAAAAAGCATAGACTAACAACTGCAGTACGAATCAGTAGGCTATGGAGCGTTTTTCTTGGGGGGGGGATAGTGTTACAGGAGAACTGAAGACATTTGACGAATTAAAACCCTTTTATTGTATATTAATAATTTACTGTGTTTTTG